AAATTAGAAACTTTTTAGTACTAACCGTTTGATTGGTTTCTTATAAAAAAAACAACTTGCAATTAATATTAGTTAAAAAAGCTCGAAAGTTTTTTCCTTTAAAAAAACTAAATGAAATCGATAAAATATAATATATTGAGGAAACAGTGTATTTTTGTAATTGTGATATTCTTCTGCTTCTTAGATACAAGCTTCAATATCGTCTTCGTTAAAAGTTTCAACGGATGAAGCGTATATAAGACTTGTGATAAAAAGTCTAAGTTTCCAAATTTATTAAAAAAATATCAAGAAATATAAAAAACTATTTTTAAATACATATATCAAAACAACGAAACAAAAAAAGACACTAAATTATAAAAAAGTCACTAAATTATACTTCAATACTAAATCAACAAGAAGTTGCGTTTTTGTTTAATATATTTTTTTTATAACATAAATTGTTAAAAAAAAATCCCGATCTGACAATATACAAGAGTGTTATTTCATGAGTGTGATACTAATTATAACATTTGTCGACGAAATAATGATGTAACAAATAAAAAAAGATCTTCTTCAGCAATTTTCATGATCACGCTCATTGACGTTATCTCGAGCGCACATAATCACGCTCGATGAAAACATATTTTAATTTTACGAGCGCGATATAACACGCTTGACGATTTTATTCGTCACAAGCCCTGTATATATATATACATATACATATTGTACGTATATGTAATATATATAAATATATATATAAATATATATATATATATATATATATATATATATATATATATATATATATATATATATATATATATATATATATATATATATATATATATATATATATATATATATATATATATATATATATATATATATATATATATAGGTATGGTAGTCACAAAGTTTTTCCCATAAACTGTTGTTTTAAAGAGCGCAATAATAAGCATGACCAGAAAATGTTAAAAAACATCAAATAAAATTTTTTTTTTTAAATGATAGACTGCCTGCCCAAACCCTCAGTCGATGTAGCAGCACTCCCTTGCGAGTCAGGCTATTTGTCATCACCTGTGTAACATAAAAATAAATGGCCAATCCTTGCTCAGTTAAAGGGTTGAGATGTATTGACCTAGAGATTGCAGACTGTCTTTCAAAGTTAACAAATAAAGTTATTTGTCCAGGTCAAAAATTGTGCTTTTGACCTGGACAAATAACTGCCGAATTGCTGCAAAGCTTATTCAACCACAAAGTCTATAAGTGAAAAAATTGACAACATTGATGACATAAATGGTATATTTTGTTCAACTGACACTCTTAACACTAGCTTTTTTGAGATTGGAATATCATTTTAAGAAAATGTGATAGTAAGAGAGATCATGCTAGTTATGTAAAAGGTAAAATTCGGAAAGTGCAAATAACAGTTGCAGAAAAATTAACTGCTGTTAGTGGTTTATCACCAAATAATAAAGCCCTACCACTAAGCAGTGCAAATGTAGAGTGTGAGAATTGCATTGACTGGTCAGATTTGATACTAGAATTGAAGGATAAAATATCAACAACCAGTAATCCACTTGAACAAGTTCAAATATTATCTCTGATACCAAACAGTTAGTCAAGAACAAAAATATGTAGTGAATTTAAAGTATCAGAGAGAATGGCTAAAGTAGCAAAAAAGTTGAAAAGTGGAATCTGAGCACTTCCAGAGAGAAATGCAGCAAAAAAATTGCCAGAACATGTTAAAGAAAAAATTTTGAAATCTAACAAGCTTTTAGCAGAACATGTCAAGGGAAAAACGATTTTGTATCTGTGCGCATCGGTGCTAAAAAAGTGCACATGCAAAAAAAAATTACTGTTAGTTAATTTAAAGGAACTTTTTTTGGAGTATAAAAAAGAAAATGGAGCTGAAGTTGAATTTTCTAAATTATGTGAGTTACGTACAAAATGGTATATAACTGTTAGATCGCCAGGTACTCATCATATTTGTGTATGTACTATTCATGAGAATATAAAAGTATTGCTTACAAGTACCCTAGTTACAGTAGACTGATTGAAAAAATAGTTTTTGACATTGAATCTAAAGAATATATGCTTCATTATTTCTATAATTTTTTTTTGTTTTTAAACATTTTTCGCTTCCAGCAAAGCTTCAAGCAACCACTAATTAGTGTTGGAAGTTACTGAAGGAGATTGTAGAGCAAGATAACGATTGACAGACAACTTAAAAGATTGAAATTATATGAATCAGAAAAGCAAGATGAAGGAAGCGAATTCCAAAGAACTGATGTTCGAGAAAAAAAACTAGACAAATAAGAGTTTTTGGAGCACTTAGGAACAGTAACAGAAAAAGCATGAGACTTATTTGAATTACGAGTAACACAAGAATAAACTTTATTAAGTGGCAAAAGAGACGCTAGCTATTTAGAGCACAGCTTTCTTTATGTATTTTATTCACAACATAGATTAATTTAAAGATTATGAATAAAAAACAATTCATTATTAATTAAAACATAAAATTTATTTAACTTTTGAATAAAATAATTATAACCTATTTATTTAATCACTACAAAATTCGACTCTAACTTCTTTATTTTGATGCATTTTGAGTTTTTTTAGGCATATTTTTAATATCATTTTTGTGCGACTTTGCCTGCCATTTTAGTCATTTCATCCTCAACTAAAGCTGGATCAACAAGAACAGTTTGCACATTTAAGGACCTTTTAGTTGTTACTTTTTTAATTACTTTAGGCAATTGAACTGCTGTACGGATTCTTGTTGCAATACTCAAAAATGATTTATCTGATTGTATAGAATAATATATTATATAACTTTAAATTCTTTTATTAAACAATTCGGCCATAATGTTACAAATTATAACCAGCGCCTTAATCTCCATCATCTTTGGTCTTTAAGGTCCTATCTGTTCTATTATACACTTCAAAGGTCCAGTGTTTATACTTTAGTCAATCATATTTATTAATATCTTTATCCTTTCCTTTTGAATGACATAGAAAAATTCAAACATCTTAGTTTTATTTTAATTTTTATTTGTTATTACAATAACTAAAGCTCTTTAAATATAGGAAGAAAATATAAAAAGCCCTGAAAATGGTTCCTAGATGAGGCCATTTATTAACAATTGAGCTAACTTTGAAAAATGAAAGTTTGTTTTCTGTCTCAACTGCTGGGGCAGTGTTTGCTCAACTGTAAGTAAACATATTTATGTTTGTGTTCTGATGCAAGGTGAGTTCAGTTACCAAGAGTGACTCTAAACATAAAACTAATGCTCACCTTAATCAAAAATATTTTATTACATGCAATGTTTTTCCTAATGCATTCCCAAAATGTTTTAAAGTATTACTTACAGAAAATGAACCATCTTTTTTTTTTTAACTACTCTAGGTTGAGTCAGGTTCAGGATCATCATGATCACCCTGCTCCTGGTAATATGTAACCCAGTATTATCTACCCCACACCCTTCTGCCTTGTAGGTTTGCTTTTTTTATGCAAAGGCTAAGAGAAAAAAACTTAGACTTGAAATTCAACTGCCTTGGGGCTTTTAGTTAAATAAAGGCTAGAGATGGTGTCTTAATAAAAATGTATATCTTGGGCAGATGTTAACTGCATCTAGCTAAAATTCCCCTGTAAATAAGTTGATCAGTTTAACTTTTAAACTTATCAACTTACTCCACAATAGTGTGAAACTGTGTAAATGAAGTTTATCATTCAACTTAATGAGGATTAATATACTAGAATAATTCAAGAACTGGTTTTAAGAATAGCATTTTAACAGTAAACTCTCATTCTGCATCAGAAAAACCTTGATCAAAAAGAGCAAGAAGAAGTAAGACATTATTTGGGTACTGGGTATGTAACTCTAAAGAAACCATTGCAGCATTTATTTGATTATAATAAAATCATTGTAAGATTGTGGCTTTTATATTTTGAAAAGCTGTGATGTTTTTAAAAACCAGAATGAATATAAAATTAAGATAAGTTCTGCCATTGCATGCACTATTTATCTTTAACCTGCACAATCTTTTGATCACCTGTCAAAAAATAAAAAAAGATTTAAGATTTTAGTAAATATTGATTAAAAAAATGGTTGCTCTGTACTCCACTTATTGAGTGTGGTAATAGATAAACTCAGTATGATGTTTTAGCTTTTTTATGTTTAAATTTATGGAAATTAATTTAGGAGGGTCTTAGTGTAAAGGCTGTTAGAGGCAGGTAATATTCAAGAAGTACAAAAAAAAAATTTTGATTTATTTGGCATTTTTTAAATTATTGATATTTAAAAAAACAAAGCCCAGACAGGCTTTAAAATTATAATTAACTTATTAACAAACCCTAATTGACCTGACATATGATAGGAAAATGTCAGTGTTACATGAAAATACAGGAGGAGTTCTACAAGGTTTTATTATCTGATATTTGCCATTTATGATTGAGCTTAAATGCTTCTAGCAAATAAATGAATTAAAGATAATCAATTAACTAAAATTAGTAAATCAACTAATTAAAAAAAATTTCTTAGATTACTTAAACAGGTTACATAAAAAGTTTAAAATAAATAATCTTTTATTAAATCTATTAAAAAAAAAAAAAATGCAATTTTACTTGTAACTGCAAGAAAATTAAAAAAAATGCATAGCTTAAATCTTTATATTATTAACAATGAAATACATAACACCAAATCGTTTAAATAGATATAGTTTTACTCTTTAACAAAGATTCAAAACTTTAGATTAACAATTACCAACTACCTATCATTCTCTATTTAGAAGAGGCCAAACCAGCATGATTTCAAAATGAAGCTGATTAATATTTTATATAACCTTATATTTATTATATTTTAAATTAAGTTGTAGCTATGATACTTTAATATTAATTTTTAATTTAAATTTAAAATTTCTTTATATTCTTTCCTTTATATTCTTTATATTTATTTACATTTTAACTTAAATCTAGCTAAATTTGTAAAATTATTTAAAAAATAATAAAAAAACCAAACCTTTTTCTAATGATATAGCCAATTCAACATTATTTTGGTTGACTTCACAATAAACATCATTTTGTAAAATGTTTTTAAATATTACAATAATACTAATATAGTTCACTACTCCATGATAATTGTTTTTAGCATTAATAAAGAGACTCAACAAATCAATACTATTGTATCCTTGTCGCAAAACAAAATCTACAAATGGTTTGTTTGAAAGATACAACATTGAATAACTATACAACTTTTCCACTTCATTTATACTGTTAATTAGAAAGTCTTGAGACACAAGCAAATAGATGCTCATTGTAAGATTATAATAAACCTTACAGTTATTGGAATTATTAACTGAAAAAATTAAACTTGAAACATCTGCATTTAAAGACAAATTAACTTTATACGTAGATAGAGATGTTAATGAGTGATTCTGTATACTCTGGTTAAATAACAAATTTATATCAGTATTGAAAGTTGTAGCAGAATCCAAAAGGACTATTTGAGTGAGAGCTAAAATGATAAAAACAAATGTTAATATTACAAAAACATCATAAATAAAAAAAAACAAAAAAAAAAATAACCAACATTTTAAAAATGTTAAAAAAAAAAAAAAAATTAGGCACCAATTATGAATGATTACAAATAATTAATGTCCATAAATAGTAAATAGTAAAACTAAATGGTGAAACCAATATTATTATTTTACCGAAACTTTATCTGCAAATAAAAATTCTATAAAAAGATAAATTTTGTACTTATTAAGCTTTTGCAATCTTTATAAATGGAGATGATTATGTTTAGCTTAGTGATATGAAGATTAAAATAAATAAGACTATATGAAGATCAAAAATTATATTTAGCTTAGTTTCTATCATACACTCAGTTTTACTTAAAATAACCAATTGTGTCACAAACAGTTTTTTATATGGTGCCATTTCTACAGAACATAGCACATAACATCTGCAATTTGGCATGTGTCTCATGAAGTAGAACTACTCATTTCTGATCCACCAGCAGACTATTCTTTGAAATTTGAAAATGAAGGATCAGATCATGCTGGAGCTAAACCAATTAAACCCTCAACATTAAAAGATTCTGATTTAATATCTCATTTATTTCTGATATATCCTTATTAGAAGATTACATAGAATTGAATTAAAACCAAGTAAAACTTAAAGCCTCAAATTATTTGTTGTGAAAAGAATTTCTGAAAATACTTCAAACTTGTGGATGAGAATTTTTTGGAAACAAGAAAGATAACTATGAAAAAATTGTGACAAGACTTCTCTTAACCTACAAGAAACAGGTAACAATGTGTCATTGAAAATTCACTTTCTGCACTTTTATTTGGACTTTTTTCCTGATATCTGTACAGAAAATAAATGACAGTCAAAGAAAAAAAAGGTGTAATACAGAGGATATATGTTTCAACCAAATAAACTTTATCAATACAGAAAACAATTATACTGCAGTACTTAGAAGTTTCTTATTTAACATTTATAGTAAAGTTCTGTTTAAACATTGTCAATTTAGGTTTCTAACATTGCAAAATATAGTAAAAACAATCTTTTCCAATATTTTTAACATTTTCAGGAAAATTTTATATCAAGAGATTTCTGTAGTAACAGCAGCAATATACATATAATAGAAATAAAAAAATCAAAGATTAAAAATTTCTTTTATGTTAACCAGTGTAATATATTTCAGTTGTTTAATTCAATAATTTGTTTCAATAATATGTTCCTGTAATTTGTTCCAATAAAATGTAACTTATTTCAGTAAAATGCTACTGCATTTGTTATGGTGATATGTTACAGTTACTTGATTCAATAATATGTAGCAGTTATTTGTTTCAGCAATATTTTCACTAGCTACTTGAAACATGTAATTTAGTACAAACAGCTACATGTCCTGCTGCTTTGTATTGCTTGTAACTTCCTTTGTAAGATTCACTTTTTTACACAAAAGGAAGAGTTAACACTTACTTTACCCTTTGCCATGAGCTATTGGTTGGGTAAAGGTTAGAAATCATTTCTCAATAAAAATACTCATACAGGGCAGATGCTAAATGCATCAATCTACAGTTGTGTAAAACACTTTCTTGACAAAGACTTTATAACTTAGCTTAAAAATCTCTAATCTAATAAGCTGATTTAAACCTATGTTACATTGTTTATTGCCAAGGATAATGAATGCTGGATCTTCTTAACTTTACTCTCTGGTTTTTGTTTGTGTTTTGTTTTGTTTAGAATGCAACTCTTTATCTAATTGTTAAGCTATTAGGTGGACACAGAAAATCCAGTCAACTTTAAATTGAGATTTCTCTAAAACTGCAAATGATTTTATTTCTTTCTTTTTTTTAATTAAATGTTACCTCCTTTTCTTTAATTGTGTTGATAAACTTTTGGTTACAAATCAATGATTTGCAAAATGTTTTGGAAACAAATTGATGTGCGTAAAAAAGTTGTAAATTTTTTTTGCAAAAATCCATCGACTTCATATCAGTTGATTGTTAAACGTACAAATTCCGAAATCTACTGTAATAGATGTTATAAATAAGTTTAAGACTACTCAAAGCTTAGAAAGAAAACCTGGAAGTGAAAGAAAGAAAACTTTAATCCAAAAAGATAAAGTCGATTTTATGTTCAATAGCACGAAATCAAAACCAGATCTAGCAAAAAAATTCAAGATTTGCGTTCTTATATCAAAAGAGTACTTAAAAATGCTGGAATTAAAGCATTTCATAAGAAAAATACATATAAGAGAAGCTTAAATGGTGAAATTAAAGGAATTCAATGCGCAAAGAAGTTGGTTAAAATAATGGCGGATAAAAGTATGCATATAATTGAAGAAGATGAAACTTATTGCAAGGTTGATTTTTCACATCTTCTTGTTCAACAATTTTACTATGAGATGGAAGGTAAACCTGTCAATGATCAATTTAAATATATTAGAAAAGAAAAATTTGCATACAAGTTCCTTGTATGGCAAGCAATTTGTAGCTGTGGTATGCAGTCTTTTTGTTTTGTCACTAAGAAGACTTTGAATGCCAATCTCTACATCAAAGAATGTCTCCAAAAAAGATTTTTGCCATTTATGAAAAAATACAAATACTGATGTCTCTTTTGGCCAGACCATGCTGTTCCTCGCTATACTAAAAAAATTCTACAGTGGTGCTAAGATAATAATGTGAAAATTGATCCTAAAGATGCAAATCCTAAAAATGCAAATCCAAATCGTCCTGAACAGCGCAAGATTGAAGATTTTTGGGCAATAGGTAAAGGAGTTCTTTGTAAGACAGGTGGACTAAGAAAAAATAAAAAGGACTTAAATAGTGGATTAATGCCACCAATAAGATGAAAAAAGAAAAAAACTCAAATTAATGTTGACCAGATTTTTCCGTGCCTACTCAATAATATTTATTTAACAAAGAGTACTATTTGTTAAACAAATTTAATTTTTATTTACTATTTGTTAAACAAATTTTTTAAACAAATGTTAAAAGGATAGTACTATTAGCTTAATAAATAGTACAATTCGCTTACCTGTTTATTTACTATTTCATATTTATACTTTTTATTTTATAACGTTTGCTTCTTTTTTTTTTAATGAATAGTTACTATTCATGCATAAAACAAGCATTTGAGCCAAAGGGCTCTTGACATTTTAACAAACAAAAACAAAATAAATTATGTTGTTTACTGTTAACAACTATTCCATTATAGTTATCCTATATTATTAAATAGATACATTTTCCTCTACTTTCTCAAATTAATGACTAAATGGAAACCAATGGAAACAAATCGTCTGTTGCAATCATCTGCTAAGATTGTTTTTCTTAATCATGCTTAATCACTCCTGATTCTTTTCTCTACCTCTAATAATCTCTAATTTGCCTTTGTATGGAACTTCATTTTCATATATAAGCTGGTTCTTCTAATGAGGCCCCCACTTAGTTAGACTAGGTCCATTATGGCATGGTAAATGTTGTTGTTGTAAATTGTAATTAGAGGTTCAAGCCTATTATTAATAGCAAGTTCATTGTATTGAAACCTGCAATAAATGGTAAGCTTAAGCCTTTTTAAAAACCATCCAGTTGTTGTAAGGTTAAATCTGTTCTTTATCTTTTATTTTATGTGACTCATTCAGTTAAGCTACATCAGTTTAGGGTAATTCATCTAATTTTCTATTACTTTAACATTAGAGCTTTAGATTTCTCTCCTATTTTTATGTATTTCTTCTTCATAAAATTTACAGTTTATTGGCTAACCACTTTTACAATATTTACAAATTTCTTTATTAAGTTAATGTTATTGATGAATAATGTATCAAAAATTGAATCACAATTTTCTGTAATTGAAAAACATTACCATTTTTAATTATTTAGTTTTAATTTAAGTATATTTAATACTATATGTATATTTAATACTATATACAATATAATTAGAAATAACTATAATATTTATATTAAATAATAACAACAAAATAAGTAATTTATTAATCAATTTATTATATTATATAGTATATTATTATATTATATATCATATAGAATTACATGATATATAATAAATTTATAATACAAAATGCATTTTTATGCAAATTTATGTTTTATATACTATTTTTATTATAAACAATTCCATAATACTAATAATGATATTTAGAAATATTTAGATTACCTATTCCATTTGTCTTCATATATTCAGATACATATTCCATTTCTAATGTAATATAATCTTTTTTAGTTATACAATTAGAATCAACTTGTAATTTATTTTCAGGCATTACAATAATACCAATATAATTTACTGATCCAGAATACTTTTTTAAAGCAAAATAGTAGAGATTCAGCAAATTAACTTGATTGTTTCCAGGAGTCAAATTAAAAAACACAAATTGTTCGTTTGAAAGATATAACTTTGAATAATTATACAACATATTTTGAAGATCAATAAAAACATTGTTAAAGGAATTGTCTTGAGATACTAACAAATAGACACGTACTGTTAAATTATTGAAATTAGAACAAACCTGTAAACTATCAATTGAAAAAATTATATTTGTAACATTATAATTTGAAGGAAAGCTAACTTTAAATGTATATAAATTTGTTACAGGTAAATCATAAATTTGACCGATTAAAAAATTAGGAAACTGTTCCAATATTATTTTTGTACAAAAAGAATACGCAGTAGATCCAGCAGAAACAGAAGAAAGTAATTGATATTGACCTAAGTTAATAAAAAACAAACTTTTAACAATTAACTACAAACAGAATAAAATATAATAATAATAAATATATATATATATATATATATATATATATATATATATATATATATATTTATATATATTTATATATGTAGTATATTATCCTTATATATGTCATGTATATAATATCTATAGAACTTAAAAAATGTTTTATCTTGAATTTAAAAAAATTAAAAAAGATTAAAAAATAAATAAAAAAGTGCAAGTGGCAGGAATTAAACCATAGCAATGCCTTCAGAAACTCTGCAAGCTAGCCACCTCAGCATGATGTTCGATAAAAGTTTTTAACGCTATTAAATAAAAAAAGACTTTATAAAATGGCAAATAAGCTTTTTTAAAATTTCTCTCTCGCTTGTTATAGTATATGACATTTTTATATATGTTATGTATATAATATCTATTGAACTTCAAAAGTGCTTTTTTTTAATTTAAAAAAATAAAGTGTAAGTGGTAGGATTTGAACCACAGTGATGCCCTTCAGAAATGCTGCGTGCTAACCACTTCAGTCACTAAGGTGTATTGTTCAACAAAGGTTTTATTACTATTTAATAAACAAAAGACTTTATATAACAGTAATAAATGCTATAAATTAAAATTAATGTTGTTGCAAAGCAATTTTGAAATAAAAGTAAAATTGTAAAGCTTGATATATGTTTTAAAATTATATAATTTTAATTTTACATAAGTTTGATATTTGTCTTCATTTTTGTTCCTATTTTAATTATTTTATTTCTTAACATTTCCACACAAAAAAAGTGCTGCTACTCTTTCTCAGCATAACCTTGGCAGCAATGACTGCCAAGAATTTCGTGTCAAACAAGCAGGAAAGGGCACTACTACTATTAAGTTCAGCAATAATGTATATGATTCCTGTAAAAAAAAACTTTTTTTTTACTCTTTTTTGCATACTTCCTGTTTTTTTATATTTCTAATTTTTGTCTATTTTTATTTATAGATATTTAAATATGATATTTTGCGAAAAAATACATTTTTTATACCTATATTTGTTACTTTTATTTATTTATTATACATTCATCATCCCGCTCATTTATTTTATTTATTACACATATTATCATGTTATTCATTTATTTACAAAAAAAAAAAATTTATAAAAACATATTTAATTAAAATTAAAAGTCTATACATAAAATTAAATGTTTTTAAATGAAATATAATATTAAAACGAAGTAAGAAAATTACCAGTTGATGTCAGAGATATTGTTGATGGTACTAAAAATAATAATAGACAAAATTGTAGCATATTAGACATTCAAAATATAGCACATTAGACATACAAAAATAAAATTTCTAACTCGTGTTAAAATCATGAGCCAAAAAAAAATTATTAAAATTAAAATAAAATAAAATTCTACTATATTATATTTATTTTCAACTTAAGTTTAAATAATAACTTAAACCTAATGTAATAATTTCTAAAAATATTTTTTATATATGTCATCTAATCAATGAATAATTTTTTATAAATACTATTTACCTCCCCAAGGCTGAGAGAGGCACTTTAGTTAGGGAGGCTATTTTTTTAAATTGTGGTTACAATGGTCATTTAAACCTTTAACTTCAAAATACAAGCTTTGACAAACAAGACTATTGCATGGAAAAAAATTGAGTACTGTAATACTAAGTACGTGGTGTTGATTGAACCTTACGCATACAAAAAGAGTGATAAATAAAAAATAAAATAAAAGCAAAGAAAAAAAGGAAAGAAAACTTAAGGTAATAAGTCAAAAACATAGAATAATATTAAAAAAAAAACCATAAAAAAATTTAGGTCATAAAAATTCTTATTATTCAAATTTTTTATGAATTACTAAGACATCAAAATTATCCTTATTTCAATAAAATGTCAGAAGTGACACCTACATAAGATATATGATGTTATATATCTACCACAGTTTTAGGGTATAGACACAGCCTAATAATTTTGTGTGTTTCAATATTAGAATTAATTTTAAATTAAAAAATAAAAATATATGAAGAATGAAAATATATATATATCTGTGTGTGTATATATATATATATATATATATATATATATATCAGGGACTGATATATATATATATATATATATATATGTATATATATATATATATATATATATATATATATATATATATATATATATATATATATCAGGGACTATTCTAGACCATTTTCAACAGCGTAAATCGCATTTGGGTGCTGCCCAAATTAAAATTTGAGGACCTTTTTTTTTTTTTTTTCGGCAAATATTGTTATTTTTGCAAAAAAAACCGCCAATTTTCCGCTAAAATTTGCCGGAAAGAGGGGGTATTGGGGGTACATGTATATGTGCATATATATACACAAGAAAATGTATATATATATATATATATATGCTTATTAATTTTATCAGGCTATTACTAATACATTCTCAACAATATTTTAATTTAATAACTTAACAAGATTTTCTCTCACCACCTGCGGATGACAGCCTTACAGAGATTTGGCAATTGAGAGAGCAATAGCGCGGATGACAGCCTTACAGAGATTTGGCATTTGAGAGAGTAACTTAACTATTGTTTTAAAACTTAAGTTTCTTTAGGCATCTTTGAGACATTCCCAGAGACTATTTATATAAGTTTGGAATGTTATGTGTACTCCCCTGTTTAGCCCATCCCATAGTTTCTCTATAGGGTTTGTACCAGATGATTGTGGAGGCCAAGTCATGATTTTAAGCACTTTCTGCTTTTCTTTTGTCTTCAAATAATTTGAACATAATTTAGAAGTGTGTTTAGGGTCATTGTCTTGCTGAAAGACAATGACCCTAAACACAATCTGGTATTCGTAATATTTACCAATATTATGGCACTGCATGATAAATCATGATTTTTTTCATCTGCATGATAAATTTTGATTTATCATGCAGATGGCACTGCATGATAAATCAAAATACACTTTTTACAAGGTACACTTTTTTATCGATTGTTAATTTGACTTGAACTAAATCACCAACATTTCTTCTTTTAAAACCATCCCAAATCATGACATTATCACCATCGTGTTTCGCTAAATAACTCAAACAAATAACATTAACATATTCACCTACTAATTGTTGGGCGTATAGACATTTTCTGGTTCCAAATAATTTAAACTTTGATTCATTAGTTCAAGACTTTTTTCCATTGATCCAATATTCACAATTTATGATCTCATGCGAATTAAATCCATTTTTGGAAAGTAAATTTACTCTTTACACTAATTTTTTTTTTTTAAATTCCAGAGGGTACAATAGACATTAAATAGGTTTAAAAACTGTACATTTTTATTTAAATTATTGAGACTTGGGAAATCATTCTGGAGATGACACACTTAAAAACGATGATATTGTCTTTAAGAGTCAAGGTCAAGTTGAAATGAATAGAGTAGTAAACTGTATTAGGGAGATGGCTGTAGGTTTTTAGGGGGTTTTTTCATTTTTTTTTTTTTTTTTTTTTTTTTTGATTAGCTTCAGTATAAGATATATTGTTAATTTCATTTTAAACTGCTGTATGACTAGGTTTTTATTATTGAATAAATTTTTAGGTTTTGTACATTTTTATAGTTAGGTTTATTTGACATGAATCTATTCTTAATTTTGAAACTTTTTTATTACTAGATCCCTTAGCTAATTGATTAGTTGTGATACAAGAAAGGACTATAAAAAATAAGCAATGGTGTATGGGTTGGTAATATTGCAAAAGAGTTTTTAATCATGACAAAACATGTAAGACAACTTTTCCTTATTGACTGCATATAGAAAACTTGATAAACATCTCTTTGAGCAAAGTATAGAGCGCCCAGTCATGCTTCTATCAGATGCTCAATTCTAAATTTTTGTGTAAAAAAACTTTAATTGCAAACTGCAATGCTTTTGTCAAAACGAATGCTTTGCAAAAGTATATGCAATGCTATTCCATTCTTAAGTCTGTATGTACTAAAATAGCTTGTGCCATTGATAACACAAAACCAACAATGATTCCTGATTTGCAATAGCATGATAGGCTCTTCAAGAAAGTAACCCTATTCTGATTCTTAGTCAGATATTTCAAATCCAAACGATTCAGATGTTTAGATAAAAAAAAATTTTAGTGCTGTGTATTTTTTATATTCATTTATATTCCTTTTATGTTATTAAAAAAATTATATTGTTGTTATATTAAAAGAAAATACTTAACCTTTTTTTCCTTTTATATTTTCTTTTATATTTATTTGAAGTATACATTTGTTATTTTATTAAAAGCTATGTTTTCCTGTTTTAAACGTAGTGGCCTTTTAAAAACCGCCATAATGCTTTAAAAAATGCAAAATAAACATTTTTTTAGTTTATATTGTTTTATTTATGTTTTATTGCTTATGTTTATGTTGTTTTGTTTATATTTTATTGGTTCGTGTTGTTTTGTTTATGTTTTATTGGTTCATGTTATTTTGTTTATATTTTATTGTTGGATTGGTGGATTAGAACAGGTCTAGCATTATCTAGAAATAAGATGATTGCAAACAAAATATTAAAATTTTTTGTTTGCAATCATATGATTTCTAAATAAATTAAAACACTAATTTGGTATCATAGTGCATAAATTCAAACTTTTTAAAAACAAAATTTGGTTTCAATTAATATTTCATCAGAATGTCTAGAGATACTGATTCAATCAATGTTTAAAATATTTTTCTGACAATAGTGGAACTCATAGCTCATAGGAAAGTGTATGTACAGCTTTTAATGAGGTATGGGTTTTTAAGGGGAATATACTGGTACTTTAATCTACTTGTAAATTATTTTTCAAAAACTCATTCCTAAAAATTATTTCAAATTTTAATAAAAACTATTATGATTAAATAGATGGGATTGCAAAAATTAATAATTGTGCATCTGCAAATTAATAATTGTGCATCTGCATGGATTGTACTTTAATTTATTTGTTAAAGTTTGTACTTTTAGTGTTCATTGTTGATCTTTGTTACAGCTTAGGCTTTGTTAATAGTAATGAAGCAATTGCTATTAAAATATGCTTAGACTATTAAATAGTGTACTAAATACTATTTGTGTCACATATCTGAGTCAACTTTTTTAACAAATCCAAAAATGATTAAAAAAGTACTAAAAACTATAAAATACAAAAACCCATCGCCATCACTAAGTGCTTTAAATATATTATTCACTAATATTTGCGGTCTTCAAAGTAATTTTTCTTCTGTTGAGTCTTTATCTCTTGCAAAATGCACCACACTTACTTGCTCTTCGTAAAACTAATTTGAGTTCAGCTATCTCATCTTGTGATCTTAGTGTTGATGGTTATCTTCTTTTAATTCGTAAAGACTCCAATAGTCACATGCTTGGCCTGGGCATTTACATTTGTACAAATTCACCCTTTTATCAGGAAACTAGATTTATATCGACAGAATATTCTTGTATGTGCTTTGATTTAGAACCACTTTGCTACACGCTACAAATGCTATATATATATATATATATATATATATATATATATATATATATATATATATATATATATATATATATATATATATATACAAACAACTTATGTTGTAAATGTGCTTAAGTAATTAGCTTGCGCGTTTAACATGCAAAAAATATTTAACAGAGACAACTTTCTTTCTTATAAAAAAAAAATTTATATGCCACGTTTAATTTTCTTCAAAATTAATGGGGCAAGAGACATAATAAGCTGCGGATGATCTGCAAAAAAATTTAATAAAAACTTGTTAAAAAATAATAATAATCAAACCTCTTCCCGCTTTTTTTTTTTTGTTCTTTATTTTTGTAGAAGTTATAAAGTATTAAACATAAATCCTTAACTCAAAACAATGATTTTATATTTTGCTCTTTTTTAAAACTTATTGAAATAAAGCAAAATTATTAAAATGGTTAGAGTGGAATAGACTTATAATGACCAGTATACGGGTCATGGTAAGTCTGCTATTCCCATGGTAAGTCTGCTATATTATAAGTCATCTCATGTGTTTTTAAATTTTTTAAATCAATGGTAATTAATTATGACATTTCAAGTGGGTATTCTAAATATTATTTAGACAGCTACTAATATCTAATTGGTTGATAAATAGCGACTCCTGCAACAGCTACCGAAACGTTTAAAGATTTATAAAGTTATTTAAACTTATTTTTTTTCCAAAACTTTAAAAAATAAACAATAATTATAGTTTTTGTAAATGAATAGAGTTATTTTTCTGCC